TCTATCTATCTATCTATCTATCTATCTATCTATCTATCTATCTATCTATCTTATCTATCACCTATCTATCTTCTCTTATCTATCTATCTATCTATCTATCTATCTATCTATCTATCATCTACCTATCTTATCTATCGCCTATCTATCATCTATCTATCTATCTATCTATCTATCTATCTATATATATATATATATCTATATATCTATATATCTATCTAATCTATCATCTATCTATCTATCTATCTATCTATCTATCTATCTATCTATCTATCTATCATCTATCTGTCTATCATCTATTCTATCTATCTATCTGTCTGTCTGTCTGTATCTATCTATCTATCTATCTGTCTATCATCTATCTGTCTATCTATCTATCTATCTCTAAAACACTTACCACCTATTTGTCTGTCTGTCTCTCTACCTATCCTATCTATGTCTACAACACTGATCTCCCTGCCTGTTTCTAGGCGCCAAGCCCCCTCCTGCTTCCGAGGGAGCCGCTCCCAGCCCCTCCAGTGGGTGGGAGGTGGAAGAGGAGGTGGGGGAAGAGGAGAGCGCCACCGACCAGTGGGATGATGAAGACTGGAGCAGCTTGGAGGTAAAAGGTCAGGGGGGGGGGCAGCTTAAAATGCCCTTTGGCCAGAGAGCTGAAGAACTGGGGGTGCCTCAGAGATAGCAATAGCCAAAGCACTTAGACTTATATACCGCTTCACGGGGCTTTCCAGCCCTCTCTCAGCAGTTTACAGAGTCCGCCTCTTGCCCCCCAACAACCTGGGTCCTCATCTTACCCACCTCGGAAGGACGGAAGGCTGAGTCAACACCTTGAGCTTGGTGAGATTCGAACTGCCAAATTTCAGGCAGCCGGCTGCAGAAGTAGCTTGCAATACTGCACTCTGGCCACTGCGCCACCGAGGCTCCTAATTGGAGATGCTGGATCACCACAATTGATTTGCTCCTTGATTTACGACCATTCGTTTAGTGTTTGAAGTTACAACAGCACTGAAAAAAGTGACTTACGGCTGTTTTCCACACTTAGCGACCATTGCACGTGATCAGAATGCAGGCAGGTGGCAACTGGCATGTATTGATGGCGGTTGCCTTGTCCCAACAATCATCATTTGTATCCTTCTCCAACCAGCTTCTCACCAGCAAAGCCACTGGGGGGGGGGGGATGCCGGATTCACTTAATGACCATGTGATTCACTTAAGAACTGCAGTGATTTGCTTAACAAACATGGCAGTAAAGGTTGTAAAATCAGATCTAGTCACATATTATGACCTCCTTTTACAACCATCATGAGTTATGACCGTCATGGGCAGATTCCATGATGGTCATAAGTGGAGGACTACCTGTGGATATGTTTTATAAATAAATTGATAGATGATAAATAGATGAGAGAAAGAGAGAGATGGATTGGTGTTAGAGATGATAGAGGATGGATGGATGGAGAGATAGATATGGATAGATGATAGATATAGATATTAGAGATAGATAGATAGAGTGATATAGAGATAGGTAGGTAGGTAGATAGAGATAGATGTAGGTGATAGAGATAGATGATACAGGTAGTTATAGAGATGATAGAGATGATAGAGATAGAGATAGATAAATAGAGAGATATAGATGATAGATATAGATTAGATAGATAGGTAGATAGATATAAATAGATATAGATGACAGATAGATAGATAGATAGATAGATAGATAGATAGATAGATAGATAGATGATAGATAGATGATAGACAGACAGATAGATAGATGATAGATAGATGATTGATAGACAGACAGATAGATAGATAGATAGATTGTGATAGATAGATAGATAGATAGATAGACAGACAGACAGACAGATAGATTGTGATAGATAGATAGATAGAGAGAGAGAGAGAGAGAGAGAGAGAGAGATAGGGTCTTAGAGAAAGAAAGGTT